GGATACTGTCTCCAGCTCCCTTCTCGGGGAGAGAGAGACTTTTGGCTTCATGCAAGGAAAGCAGCAGAAACCTTTCTTTCTCTCCCTCAAACTCTGCCAGAAATGAGTCTTTGCCAGCGCAGCCTCTTAGAGCAGGAGGCCTTGCAGGGTCCCAAAGACTCATTTCTGGCAGAGTTTGGGGGAGAGAAAGAAAGACTTTCACTGCTTTCCTTGTGTGCAGCCAAAAGCAGAAGAAGAAAGAAGCGAAAAGAAGCAGCCTGGTGGCCAAGCCAGGCACATGGGGCACGTGAGGCAAGTTCCCCCCCTCCGCCCTTTCCCCTCTCCCCTCACTACCTCATGTTGTTTGCAATGCAAGTGACGCAAGCCTTGTGTTCCCACAGGCCATGTGGGCAGCACAGCTCTGTGTTCCCATGCAGCCTGGATTAATTGCTTTGGGGGCTGCTTGGGCAGGAGACATTTCTCTGTGGACCACCAAAAATTTTCTCGCGGAGCACCAGTGGTCCCCGGCCCACTGGTTGGCGACCACTGACGTAACAGGATGCCGATATGGTGTAGTAGTTATAATGACAGACAAGGACTAGTGGAGGTTCAAAGGTTCAAATTTCTGTCAAAATTTTATTTTATTTTTGGTTTAATTAATCATTTGAATCAAGGGTTTCAACCCTATCAAGTTAATACAACTGTTGGTAGAATTTTAATAGAATTTTAAAAGAGCGGATGATGTAGCACAATTATTATTCCTTGTAATGAGCTGGTGAGTCTGCTCAGATCTTGTCCCTTGCTGGCAGGAATTTTTCTTAGTGGAAAACAAGCTGTGAGAAATTAGCAGGAGGGGTTGAACCTTTAGATTTGGTCTGAAAAGAGGTAGGGAAGCAACTCAGATTCAAGACTTCATCGAGGTCGATCAAGAATCATGGCTTCCTGAGGAAATGAGATGTTCACCTTTTCTAAACGCTGCTTTACGTAGGTTTGTTCCAAAGCACTTCTTGTTGTTTATAATGCTTTATTTACTGTGAATATGTTTATTGGACCTGTAATAGATCTGTGACATGAAGAGCATCAAGGAAAATTGCAGGGGAGAAAATTTCGCTCAAGTTTCATCTCCGTATCATGCTTCCTTTTAGCAAACTAGCCTCTTGCAGGATCTACAAGCAGGTTGATTTAAAACTTGTTTCAGCACCTAGGACTGTGGTGGTGAACCTATGGCACAAACGGGCCAGAGGTGGTACTGTGTTTCTCATATAATAAGGCCGGGTCTTATTTTCTTTTTGAGCCCCGAAAAAATGGCTAGGCCGTCTTTTCGGGGGTGACTTAATTCCCCCCCCCCCGCATCTTTGGGCAGATGGGCAGCGACAGCTTGGATGTTGACCTCGGCGTTGGTGGGGCACTTCGTGTCGGGGTCAACGCAGGCAGCACCATATCCGGGTGTGCAACAAAAGTACTTCCTAACGGCAAGCCCTCCCCCCATTCCCGCCCATTTCGCATGTTTTAATCTAGGCCTTAATTTGGGGGAGGGGCTTAATGCCTATAAAACATGCTGGGACTTCCTATTGGGGGAGGCTTTATTGTTGGAGAAACAGGGTATGTGAGCCATCTCCCCAGCTCAGCTCCATCACGCATGCAAGTGTGCCTCCCGCCAGCCAGTTGGTCTTCGGGTCTCTGCCATGCATGCGTGGCAGTGGGGCTCATGTGCGGCAAGTCGGGCATATTCATGGGGTCTGTGAACACATGCGTGCAGGGGATGCATGCGTGCAGGGGGTGCATGTGCATTGCATTTTGGGGGTGCACGCTTGCAGATGCTTTGGGCACTCGATGCCAAAAAGATCAGCCATCACTGAGCCAGAAGGTCCTGCGTATACCTAGGTCTTCTTTCTCCAAATGCAGTGATAGAGTCAGCTCTTCTATTCTCTGATGGATTGATTTTGTTTAATCGACCATAGGAGATTTAGCTGTTTCAGGTGGAAGTGACTGGTGCTCAAACTTAATCTGCAAGAAGGCTTTTGCAGAGCATACTTGTTCTGACCTAAGCCCTTTTCCAACAAATCAAACACAATCCAAAAGGAACAGAAACCTTGTAATGCTTTTACAAAATAATTAGCACAAGCCTTGCCAAACTGCAAGACTTGCCAAAAGATAACAGACAAGAAATGATTTGCAACACAAAAATCTTCAAATACAAACTCTGGATACTGGAATGTCCACGAGGCTGGAGTTTCAAAATGTCTTTGCCTTCTGCAAAGTATGTTCCTTTCACAGCTAGCTTTTGTCTTCTTGAAGGAGGGGCCATTACCTTGCAGCCTTACTCCTGAGTCGCCCGTGCTGCTGCAGTTGCTCTTTCCTAAGAGCAATTGTACGCGCATGCACACTTGGCACAGGCTCCTCGGGAACCTCCTCATTGCTGCTGCCAGCCCCCACAATCTCTGAAGGCAGCAGTCCACTCCCTAATGGTCCTGGCCCCTGATCTGTGTCCTTGTTCTCCTCAGCCATCCGCACCTGCTGCCAGCTAACAACAACAATTCCTAAGGACCTATGCCAGTGGTGAAAGAGACATTGAATTTTGGGAAAGGTTCCGTGGTGTTCTTACTTCATGAAGATCTTTTACTTTGCTGGTCTTGCTCTCCAACGCTTTGGGGTCTGGGAGGCCAAAGTGTGAAGGTGGAGAATCGCATTTAACTTGAAAGGCCTGTTTCCCCAAATGCCTGTGTCTGATGGGACCATCTCTGGAGGGTCTTCTCCAGATGCTGGTATCTCAGTGGTGGAAGATAAACTTAGAGGCACTGTCTTGAATGGGACAGAATGGCTTTTGGGGTGCTCTTGTGATTTTTGATTTGATGGTGTGTTTAACAGCAGGTCCCCAGTACAGAAGGAAGGACAATATAGAGGATTTACTTCTCGTTGTATGCATTTGTTTGTGTCCAGCTAGGGATCAACTGCTGGTCTTCTAAGAAAAGTTCATACAGAAAACTTACGACCATATCTTAGTGACTGGTGTGGCAAACTGCTTGTCCAAATATGACACACTAGCTCAATACCTGTGCTTCGCTACGAAACTAATGTGTGAACTTGTCCAATTGTGATTAAAGAAACAGGCACCTAATTTACTCTACAGGACAATTTCTCAGCAAAAAAGAAACCAAGTTGAACATGACTGAGCTAACATGACTGGAGGGGGAATTCTGGGAGTTGAAGTCCACAAGTCTTTCAAAGTCCAAAGCTGTCAAGTTTGAAGACCCCTGACTTAAACTGTCCCTAAAACCAGGCCTCTTCCAGATTTGGGGGCCACATAATGGTTGTTGGGGTAGCAGGGGATAGTCTCTGAAATATTTGGTGGATTCAGAAGAAACCTCAGTTTAATTCCATCTCCTTTGTATAGAATGGATCAAAAATAAATGTGAATAATACAGTTCACCAGTTACTTATTTAACGGTTTTTCTTCTGTTCTTTAAGTAGTACATTTTGATAGACATTTTTTAGAAATCTCCAAGGGCTGCAAGCTACATATTTCTGCACTAAACAATAAGTTATCATGATGTGAATGGTCCGCAAACAATGAGTTATGTTGCTTCAGTTATAGTTAAGTTTTAATTTTGGGTTATAAAATCTGGATCAATTTAAATAAGTCATTTTAGGAAGGAATATGTTCTGTTTCATAAACACATAGGTCAGCCTCCCTCCCTTCCTTCCTGCCTTCCTATTTTCCTGCCTTCCTGTCGTTCTTCCTGTTCTCCTGCCCTTCTGTTTCCTTGCCTTCCTTCCTGCCTTCCTGTTTTCCTGCCTTTCTGCTTTTCCTGTCTGTTTTCCTGTTTTCCTGCCTTTCTGTTTGCCTTCCTTCCTGCTTTCCAGCTGATAATAATCTTTTTTTAATTAAAAAAAAACTTTTATTGAAATTAAAATATTAAAATACAAATACATCTAAAGAAGAAAAAATAAGTTTGTACAATTCACCATCATTATTTGACAGTACAAAAATCTTAGCTATACTCATACATTTCAAATATTCATACATTTCAAATATTTCTAGTTAATCGTATACATATATATATAGAATTTATATCTTATTCTAACCTATACATTTCATATTCCTACTATTGTATCCATTGATATTAGTTTTCTCCAAATTGAGTAATATTCCAAGTCTTATTATTTAATTCTATAGTGAGTTTATCCAGAGGAACCGAGATGACTTTGACTCTGACTCTGCACACTCAAAAATTTTCCAGATTATTAAACAATCTGCCGGTATAGTGGCCATTTTCCAAGATTGTGCTAGTGCAATTCTCGCTGCCGTGATCATACGTATGATCAAATACTTAATCTTTTGGGGGTACTTTCCTTTAATAATCCCCAAAAGAAACAGTTCAGGCTTCAGTTCTACTTGACAGTGAGTAATTTCATTTAACCATTTTTGTATTTTAATCCAGTATTTTTTAATTTGCGGGCAAAGCCACCATACATGGAAAAAGGTACCTTGTGCCTGTTTGCAATTACAGCAGTTAGGGTTTAAGTTAGGATATATTTTTGCAAGGCTTGTTGGGGCTAAATGACAAAGGTGAAACATATTGTATTGGTTTTCTTTATATGCGGTCAACTGATAATAATCTACTTGTCTCTTTTACATGCACCTTTCTATCAGAAACTTAACAGCAGGCTTGTCAATCGTCATATCTGATCACCAATGGCGAACAGAACTTATTTGTAAGCTGATTGGAATGCTATCTGAAAACCAATGCTCAGCTTCCTACCGCCTAACTCAAATCAGAAGTGGCTTCTGCTGTGGAGCCCGTTTAAGAGGAACCGAGATGACTTTGAAAGGAGACATAGTCAAAAGAGAGAAAGGGAAGGTTTTGAAGGCTGACTCAATATTTCTTTCTGGAAGGTGCTCCAAATATGATTTTTCCTTTCGTTGGAGATGCAGATGTTTTTACTTTTTCATATAGGATTTGTTTCATTTCTCCTAGTTGCTACCCCAAATTCACATAGTTTTCTCTTCCCTTTTACAGCAGGAAAGGATTTCGTATACGCCGCCTGTGAGCCCGGTAGATGATTATCCTTCCTCATCACCTCTCCATGTCCCATTGCACCGAACCATCAGAATGGAGGAAGAAGCCCTCAGACTTCCAGCCCATTTGCGTGAGTTGTTTCAGGCGTGGCTTTTTGAGATGGTGCGGGGGGAAAGGGGTACAGGGGTGTGTGGTTCCAGGTCCTACTTTTTAAAATGCAGATCCTTGCCCGTGCCATCGAAACCTGTGGGGAAGGTGTGTTGCAGATCTCCAGTCGATATGCATGGTGGGGAAGATGTGTATCAGGATTTGCAAAATGTTTCATCCTAGAAAACTCCCATTTCCATGAGTTGCTCTGTGTGGTCCAGGAGTGGTTGGACTTAGAACAGGCCTGTATTGAGGAGGCTAAGGTCTTTATGGGCATCGCAGTGTTTCATGATGGCCTTAATGTGTTTACTGAAAAGATCACAGCATGCTTTCAGAACCAGCCACACAACATTGTCTTTCTCTTACCGCTATCTGTGATGGCCCAGGGGTGTGGCACAAAAGCAACAAAGTCACAAAAGTAGGTAAAGTCCCTTTAATTCCTCCAACTTGGCCTCCAATGCCCAGTTATCATCTGCTGGAGAAAAAAACTCTCCCAAAAACAGTTTTCAAAGGGAAGAAATTTAGTCCAAACCAAAAGTATGTATAAATTATAAATAAAAACCAACACAAACCACACCGCAGCAATTAACGAGACAGGGCAGGATAAGGAATTGCAGACTTCAAAAGATAACGAAACACATATAGTTGGGAGGAACCCAGAACACAGAAAGGACTTGACAAACAAAGATAATGCATGCTTTGCTTCCAGCAAGGTTCTGTGCACAAACACCCTCTTTATCCTGTTTCCCCAGCTGCAGTTAATGAAGGGAATCAGGGCCTTTTTCTCCCCTGTATCCCACGTTGCTCCCTTATCCATTCCTCTCTGCGTGCCCTAGGATGCAGAGGGGGTGGCCCTGGGTCTTCCTCTGAATGCCTTGTTGGCCTGTGCCCTTCCCCAGTTCCCTCCACAGCCACCAGAGCCACACTCCCACCCCCTGTCAGCTGCTCAACCTCCCCCTCAGAATCAGATTCCAACAGGGGCATGACACTATCACAATGCTTTGTCTTCATATTCTAGTACAGGAGTGTCAAATGCGATTTCATTGAGGGCCACATCAGGGTTGTGTTTGACCTCAGGGTGTGTGGGTGTGGCTGAGTGGGTGGGTGTGGCCAGCTTGATGCCACTCCCCAAACTGCTGGTATGTTTTCAGGGTTGTCTTAATTGCATGGTCCTGATGGGCACTTGCCTGTGGGCCCCACAAGCATAGGGGGCCCACTAATCTGTGTATGTTAACCCTTCAATGCTCCTTGTATCATATAAGTACAGCAACATATTTATCACATTTTACTGCCTTTTTTATTAATACTAACATGCATTAATAGAAATTAATACGGATTTTTTTCCGTAGAAGTGCCAATAAGTGGTGGTGCGAGGACTCTGCCAGCCCGGGCTCTGTTTTCACTGGCGGAGGTACCGCAGGCCGGTCCCTTACTGTTTCCAGGGTGGCCCTGTGGGCCAGATCTAAGCACCCCACGGGTGGGATCCAGCCCACAGGCCTTGAGTTTGACATCTCTCTTCTAGTAGAAACTTCTAGAGATATTGTGTGGGTGCAGCCCAAATATTCTTTCTGGACCATGATGACAATAATTAGATTTTCTGTGTTATTTTTAAGGATGCCCCTCTGAATAAATTATCTGTATTCCTAACACTGCACTACAGGTAGTCCTCGACTTACGACAGTTCATTTAGTGACCGTTCACTGAAAAAAGTGACTTGGGACTGTTTTTCACAGTTACGATCTTTGCTCATGGGATCAAAATTCAGATGCTTGGCGGCTGGTTCATACTTACGAACGTTGCAGTGATATGTGATCCCCTTTTGTGACCTTCTGACAAGCAATGGGGAAGCCAGATTCACTTAACAACCACGTTACTGACTTACCAGCTGCAGTGATTCACTTAACAACAGAGGCAACAAAGGTTGTAAATGGGGCAAAACACACTCAACCAACGCCTCACTTAACAACAGAAACAAGCACCTAATTTACTCTACAAGACAGTTTCTCAGCAAAAAACTTAAACTGTCCCTAAAACCAGGCCTTTCCCAGATTTGGGGGCCACGTATGGGTGTTGGGGTAGCAGGGGATGGTCTCTGAAATATTTTGTGGATTCAAAAGAAACCTGTTTAATTCCATCTCATTTGTATAGAATAGATCAAAAGTAAACTGTTTGGCCTTTGGTGTCCTGCAAAAATAGTTAAGGTTCCTATACTGTATTTCTGATAATAGGTAATAAGCGAATACGATGGGTTAAATATGACGGGATTGCTTTGCTTGGTTTAGAATCCGTTTAAAGGAAGCAATTTCCAAGTAGTGTGTGAAATTAGAGGTTTTGGCAGGGCTAACCATTGATCCTTCTTGAGAACACAGGGAAAGAAGATCCGAGCAGGGAAGCGTGTGTACCAGTCAGCCTTCAACAGATGTAATCACCTTCTTTAATCCGGTGCTTTTGATCGTTCGACTTCCTCTTGTTTCTCTTTTATATTATCCCAAGAATTTCTTTTTTTAATCGATGCTCAGTTGGTCAGACGAAATTCAGAAGCTTGTTCCTTCCACCCCAGACCTTCTCCCCAATCAGCCCAAAGGCCAAGTTTCGAATTCTTGAGGATGTTGCCTAAGATAAAAGGCCTTCCCCTGCATTAAGGGCTTCCCGGATGTATACTCTGTGGGTAAAGAGCTGAGTTTGTGGCTTCAGATGCTATTTTTTTTTCCTTGCCTGACTCATTTCTGACGTTGAGCCCTTCTCTGGGCCGAAGCAATGCGACAAGCAGAGATGCTGCACACAACCATGAAGATGTTTGTTTAAGTCAGGGGCCCTCAAACATGGCAACTTTTAAGACTTGCGGACTTCAACTCTTAAAAGTCTGAAAGTCCACAAATCTTAAAGTTGCCAAGTTTGGAGACCTCTGATTTAAGTCATGTCAGGAGCCATTAAGAGGTTTCTGGTTTCCCCCAGAAATTCAAGAACACAAGAAAGAGACAAGCAAAGAAAAGCAACCCCTTTAAGCTATACAAATGTTTTCATTCTGGGTTAAAACCTATTGGATGCTGGGGTTTTTTTTAAAAAAAAAAACATCTCCAGTAATGGAGAAGGGAGGAAATGAAGAGGCCAGGTAGGACATTAAGTCACGATTTAGACAGCTGTTGCATAGGGACAGCTCTGAGTCCACTAGAGAAAGGCAGAAGCTTTTCCTGGCCAAGGGTCACTCCTGAGGTTTGAGGAACCTCCCCTGGGAGCTCCAAATCCAGGCCAGCTATGACTACAAATCTAACTTTTCCAGAAACACAATACTATATTTAGTAAAAGGACAAGAAACTTTCTTTTTCCACAGGCCATGGCACCTCTTCCACAGGGCCCATCAAGTGATTCCAGGACCCCAAAGTTATATATATAGGTAGTCTTCGACTTATGGCCACAATTGAGCCCAAAATTTTCGTTGCTCTGCGTTGTTAAGCGAGTTTGGCCCCATTTTACATCCTTTCCTGCCATGGTTATCAAGCGAATCACTACACTTGTAAAGTTAGTAACATTTCCCCCATTTACTTCGCTGACCCGAAGGTGGTCACGAAAGGTGAACACGTGACCCTGCATCCGTCATACATATGAGCCAGTTCCCAAGTCTCCAAATTTTGATCACGTGACCCTGGGGAATGCTGCAACAGTCATAAGTGTGAAAACGGTCATAAGTCACTGTTTTTTACTGCTGTTGTAATTTTGGTCATTAAATGAATGGTTCTATGTTGACAGCTACCTGTACCCCTATTGTATAGGTTTGGTCATCTTCCTACCTGTTTTTTCACACACACACACACACACACACACACACACACACGGCCAATGGTAGGGAGTCCGAACCAGAATAGAATGGCATGGCATGGCATGGGGATAGGATAGGATAGATAGAATAGAATTAGACAGGGAATGGGAATGGAAAATAGAATGGAATAGAAAGAGAAAGAGAATCAGGGGGTGGTATTCAGCAGGTTCTGACCAGTTTTGGAGAACCGTGAGCAGAAATTTTGATTAGACTGGAGAACCGGCAAATACTACCTGTGACTGGCTATTCTCCATCCATTGTCTGCCTCCCATTGAGTCCCAGCTGATCGGCTGGGTCTTCTTTGGTTGCCCTGCACAGGAGAACGGAGCTGGAAAGCAGGTTAGTAGGGTGGGGAAAGAATGGGGATTTTACAGTATCCTTCCCCTGCCACGCCCACCAAGCCACGCCTACAGAACTGGTAGTAAAAATGTTTGAATCCCACCACTGAATATAGCAATAGCCCTTAGACTTATATACCACTTTATAGTGCTTTACAGCCCTCTCTAAGCGGTTTTACAGAGTCAGCCTCTTGCCCCCAACAATTTGGGTCCTCATTTTACCCACCCACTTAGTGGGGCGAAAAACTTCAGAAAACCTTTAGAAACCATTTTTCTGTTTTGCGTTGTGCCTTTAGGGTGGGAAGCCAGTTAGCAAGTAGGCTGAACATAATTTCCTATTTGAACAGCCTCTCTTAAAGTGGAAAGCCTTATGCAAATAGTTCTTGACTTGCAACAGGTTATTTAGTGACCGTTGAAATCTACAACGGCACTGAAAAAAGTGACTTATGACCGTTTTGCACGCCAGAACAGCTAGACACAAGGACAGTTTTTTCCCAAACGCCATCACTCTGCTAAACAAATATTTCCCTCAACACTGTGCAACTGTTTACAAAGTCTGGAATACTATTACTGTTAATCCTCCCATCCTTCCTTTCACCCATCTCTTCCCACTTGTGACTGTACGACTGTAACCTTGTCGCTTGTATCCTTACGATTTATATTGACTGTTTCCTAGTATGATTTGACTGCTTATTTATAGCCTATGACTATTATTAAGTGTTGTTCCTTATGATTCTTGACTCTTGACGAATGTATCTTTTCTTTTATATATACTGAGAGCATATGCACCAAGACAAATTCCTTGTGTGTCCAATTGCACTTGGCCAA